ACAACGTTTCGGCTGTGGAGCCTTCTTCTTGACACCTGAAGAATGCTCCACTGCTGAAACGTTATGTTTCCTTTCTTTTCTTTTCAGCATGGAATAAACCAGTTACCTGTTCCTTTACATATATGTACTTATTGCACCTCATTCCAGCATCTGAGAGTAAAACATTCCTCCTTCCCTCACACCCTCTGTCTAGGCGTCTATGAGTTCCAGCACTGCCACTCCTCACTGTGTTGCTGCAGAAGCATATTCTATGGCTGATGTTGTACAGGACAACATGAAAGACAGCTTTAGCTCAAAGTCTCTGGACCCCAAAGAGGAAGAGGAAACTGTGAGAGAAGAAAACGAGGGCTATGGGTACTTGGTAGGAGAAGCTAATACCAGTACGCTCACTACCTTTCCCTGAAACTACACTGCTGGGAGAAGGCAGGCCAGGAGCTACTGCATTACAAAGAAGGGCGGCTGCTCTAGATCATTTCTTTTGTTATTTCTAAGGAATCATTATTTTTTGCTGTTTAATTTTCCCACTGTTCTGTTTCATTAACATTTTTGACTTGGGAAAACACTTTGATCACTTAGAGAATAACTTCTTTAAACTTGCCTCTGTTACTGTTAGTCTGTTTGTTAAACCGTAAACACAAATGTGAGCTAACTGTACAGTAGCTACAGTAACTAATGACTGTATCTTGGCATTACCCAAAATAATCATTTTAAATGGCTGATTATGTTCATGCCAGTAATACCAATTCTGATGTCATACTGTACATGACACTGACTGTGCCTTCATGTTTCCTCATACACACAAATATCAGTCACCTAATATAATCCTTTTTTAAGTGTTAAGCAGGTATAGTTAAAAAGCTGTGAATTGTAAATAATATAAAATTTTTGCTTAGTAATAGAATTTTTGTGCAATTTGTATGCTTGATTTGAATGATTTGAATAAAATTGAAATACAGTATGCCATAATACAGGTGACATTAACTACAATTGTAAAAAGACCATAGTTACAGATAACTTGTATCAGACAAACAATTATACTGTATCACATGCGTTCTCAACATGAAAGACGTTCTTCCACACCTTACAACTGACCTCTTCTGCCAGCATGACCTGCATTTACAGGGTATAAATATATCAGTTCTTAACATGAAAAGACAAAAAGATGGTTCCATGTTTGAAATAATTCACACATCTTACATAAATGATATAAAGACATTTAAATAATCATTTTGGGAAATTGTATATCTGTAACAAAGTACAGAGGGGGGAACTACATGTTGTTTACTAATTATCTTATTACATTTTCAACTCTAGGATTTTACCTACTTCATATATCCTTTTGTTGCAGTGTTAATGGAGTTAACGTACCAGTATTTTGTGTTTGCGGATTTCCTTTTTCCAATGTCGTGTACAAGGGCTGCCTCAGAACTCTGTTACGCTCGTACTGTAAACCCCTCCTCTTAAGGAGGCTCCAGCCCTTCCTTGTTTCATACTCATCCCCTGCACTTGCCTCCAGTTCCAGCCCCCCGTGGTATAAAACCCCGTGCCTTCAGGGCATCCAGAATGATGGATGATGGATGCCCTGAAGCTCGCCTACCTGAAGTCCAGGAGCGACTCAGCAGCATCGACTTCTACGGCTTCCTGACCTTCTGGGTCCGGGACTGGAGCGTCTGGTCCCGTTTACAACTTTTATTCGCCCGACCCTCTACCGGATCCCGCTCCGGCTTTTAACTCTGTTCGTCTGTCAGGTCTTGGTCATTCATAGATTTGCCACGGACTCCTTTGGACTGTTTGCCTCGGCCACACCTCCCCCGAACACCAGCGCACCGTGGACACACCCCCTGTTTTCCTTCCAGCCCCTTGCATGCCTTTTTCCCCGTGTTTTCCTCACTCCTCCCCACTGGAGATGTGCACCAATGGAAAGCAGAATGTTTTTTTTTTCATTAACGTGAGTCTAAGACATGCCTACATTGTTGTATTTGGAAAGTACATATTATAAAATACATTTTTTCACAGTTGTTTTTATTTTATTGTAACATTTTAAAATAAACCAACAAATGTAAAATTAAAAATATAAGCAAGGAAAAGATACAGAAAAACTGGGGATTAGAGGCTCAGGAAAGTTTCTGCACTAGCAAAGAATGTTGGAGCTGTATGTACAGTACTTCCATGATAACATCCATCTGTGAGAGTCGTGGTTCCATGACACTATTTTCTGCGAATTTACAGACAACCAAATGTGATCTGTGAGGATCTCAGTTTTAACTCTGCCTCATAAACATTTCAGAGGACATAACTGGAAACTGCATTGAAGACATTTAATTCCAAAAACATTAGGTGCTTCCTTACACACAGAATTATGGGGATATGTAACAGATTACCTAGCCATGTTGTTGAACCGAAACTACAGTAACTTCTTTCAAGAAACAGCTGCATGAGATCAATTCACTATTAACTACCCGAGCAAGATAGGCCCAAATTGGCTTCCTCTTCTTTCTCTTCTCTCTTCCTCTTCTTTATTAATGCTCTAAGGCAGGGGTGCCCTAATCAGTTGATCGCAAGAATGTTTGGCAAAATATAAATGGGCTATTTGACTACTTTTTTCTATAGCCTAAAAATTCATTCAGATCTGTGCATGTAATGTCATACATTTTACTGCCCTCGTGTGTGTTTAACCCTTGTCGAGTGGGTTGTAAAAGTCTCTTCCCTGAGCGCTGGCTGACACTGGAAAAAAAGGCTACAGGAGCTCTGTAACTAAAGTGTTGCGTGTGCGACCCAAGAACGTTCTCTTGGTTATTGCTGCACGAACCCCACATTCGCTACAGTGCATAGAGGAGCAAAACAGACTGTCCATGACAAATTTGTCAACAGTTTGATGAGTTTGATTGCCAATTTGATAGTTGTAGACTTGCAGTGTTTGAGCAAAAATTACAAAGCAAAGAGACCAAAAACTTAACAGACTGGGAGCATGATTATTTTTTGTACTTTCGCATTCAAATCTGCAATGCCTGCATCTACGCAAAAAAGGGAAATATAGAACAACATTTCAAAACTCCACACAAAACGTATGTAGACTTTTCCGACTTGCTGTTTGGAGGTTGCAAAAACAAACATTTTTGGCGAGGTTCAGACAGCTGTTGCCTGAAATCAAAGAGTTTCTCAAGTCATCTAAACATGGTGCATATGCCTAATTAGAGGATGACCAGTGGTTTCTGGATTAAGCATTCCTCACAGACTTGACTAACGTGCTAAATGAGCTGAATGTCGAGCTGCAGGGACAAAATAAAAAAAAGTCATTAACATGATCAGCAGTGTCAACACATTCCAGAACAAATTCACAAGTGTTCCCAAGTAAGTTTCTCAGTGCCAATGCTCACATTTAAGGTAGGATATTATTTTTTCTAAAATGGGGAACATGACTGGTTCACTGTAGCATGAGTCACTGGCTTTTATTTGCTGTCATTTTAGTGATGGGTATCATCATTGTACTGATATGCCCACAGTCTGTTTTTCCTACATGTATATCAGAGCTTCAAATTCACACTGGTACGGTAGATCATGCTGGACTGGCAAATGGAAAAAGTAGATCTTACATTAAAAAAGGTTGGGCACCCTGTTCTAGGGACATGAAAGGTTTCCTGTCATACAGAAATGGTGTAGCCATAAAAGAATTGCCAGTAAAAAGGCTGTTAAAGCACTGTCATGCTTTGACTGTTATTTTCACTATACTTGTTAAATACAGTCAACTATAAAGAAGCATAAACTTTTCCTACACCCACTAGGACAAAAGAAAAGACACATTAAGATCCTCTTCAAACCCCTCCAATCTGGTTTCAGACAGTTACACTGTCAGGAAACCAATTGGTAGAATAGGAGGATCCTTATGCATAACCATGAATCTCACAGGATGCAGAGTAGCACAGGGACAATCCAGAAGACATAATCCAGGGGCTTGGTCAAAAAGGGAGGCAAAGAGTCCAGTAACAAGGGAAATCCCAAAACATGACAATCCAAAAACAAAATCGAAAAGGCAAGAGCAAAGTTAGGTACCAGGAGATCAGTCAAAAGGTTTTATAAATGCACAGAAGAGAGTTCTACTGGAGGCTTCTCAATAGGGAGCAAGGGTTGGTCTGTGAGGGAACTTTAAATACTGAAGGGAAAGGAATGTGGTTGAAAAATTGGTTTGGGAGTGAGAATTTGTGGAATGTGGTGGGAATGTGATGGGTTCAATTAGGAATGAGATTGTAAAACAGTGGGTTTGGGAATGCAATGGCATTTGCAAGGGAGAGTGTGGGGCGTGACAGGAATGGAACGGTGTTTGTGAGGGAGAGTGTGGGGCGTGACATACTGTACACAGCACAGAAAATGCCTTGTTTAAAGTCACTAATTATCTTATTTTGGCTTCTGATTCTGGCTCTCTTTCTATCCTTATTCTCCTTGACCATAGTGCTGCTTTTGACAATGTTAACCAAAATATCTTGCTTTCTCTTCTTAAGAATGTGTTGGGAATTTCTTACATTGCTCTTTTATGGTTCAAGTCATACCTTTCTGATTCCTTTCACTTTCTTAGCGGTTTCAGTTCTGAAGTTGGACTCATTGAGTCTGGTGTTCCTCAGGGCTCAATACTCGACCTCCTAATATTTAGCATTTACATGTTTCAATTTGGTCAGCTATTAAGATTGCATGGTCTATCATTTCTGATGCTGATGATACTCAAATCTACGTTCATATTAACACTGAAGTGACACTGTCAGTACACTGTCTAATTGCACCTCTGACATAAAACCCTGTTGACTCAAAATTTCCTTCATTTAAACTGCGATAACACTGCGGTTATGCTTCTCAGCACTCCACATCAACTACGTAAAGCCAATACAACCTATCGTTGGATCGTAAATCCAAATTGAGGAACCTGGGAGTGATATTTCATCCAGACTTGACGTTTGATCCACATGTCCAACATTTTGTAAACAAAAGCCGGTCAAGATTTCTGTCTTCTCTCTAATCCCCCTACATGTCGATTCCAAAATCCCTCTGCTCACCTACAAGGTTCTGTATGGCTTGGCACCTCAGTGCCTGTCTGAGTGCTCAAGGACTCATTGAGGACAATGGGGCAGAGAGAGGTGAAACAGGATTGAAATAAAGTGGTGGAAATGGGATCTAATAGACAGGTAGTGGATTCCAAATGAGATACCAATTCACTAAGGAGCTTATTATTAATAATAATAATAATAATAATAATAATATAAACTTTATTTTATATAGTGCCTTTAAAGGTGGCTTCTTAAAGAGATGAATGCTGTATTTAAATTAAGAATTATAGTTATTAAAGCTATAGTTATTATTTCAAGGGCTACATTCAGTACATTAAATTTACTGTATCATAATTTATCATTTCACTGTAAATTACAGGGTTAATTTCTATTTGGGCCTTCCCAGACCTTCCCAGTGCTCTGACCACTTTCTGTAACAGGAGAACTTACATTCTCCTGTGACAGAAGCGGTGGAGCGGTGGCACCTGTGGCTGGAAGATTACTGGTTACTACAAATCCCACGGCTGACAGAGGAATCCTACTCTACTGGGCCCCCGAGCAAGGCCCTTAACCCCAACTGCTCCAGGGGTGCCGTATAAATGGCTGATCCTGCACTCTGACACCAAGCTTCTCTCTCCCTGGCTGTGTGTCTCATGGAGAGCAAGCTGGGATATGCAAAAAGACAAAATCCTAATGCAAGAAATTGTATATCGCTAATAAAGTGATCTTATCTTAAAACACCACCCCGCAGGGGGGCCCCAGAAACTAAGCAAACTTTTCAAGAGTTGAGGAGAGTGTGATATCTTTTGGTGTTTAGATTGGCCGTTACTTAAAGCTTTAGTTCTGCTTTTATTTAGTAATTTACCCTTAATCGTATAATTTTTAATAAAGGAACAAGTAATAGGTTTATTCCATTCTGAAAAGAGAAGAAAGAAAACACAGCGTTTTGGCCCTGGAGCCTTCTTCAAGTGTGGTCATTTTTAATAAAGGCTTGAATCGGATGTCGTTTAAATAGGAAATTCCTTTCTTGAAAAAAGACACCGCTGGCCAGGAAAGGCCGAAGTCGTCTGCTGTGCATCACACCTGGAAAGGTGCCCTGTAGGTTCCATACTACAGTGCCTTGCGAAAGTATTCGGCCCCCTTGAACTTTTCAACCTTTTGCCACATTTCAGGCTTCAAACATAAAGATATAATTTTTTTATTTTATGTGAAGAATCACCAACAAGTGGGACACAATTGTGAAGTGGAACGAAACCTATTGGATTTTTGAAACTTTAACTAATAAAAAAA